ATATATATTATATTGTAATTATATATATTATATTTTAGTGTAATATAATATATTCGTAATTTTAAACTATCCACAGTAATTAAATATCATAATTTATCAAACACTATTACATTGATTTTGGAACTATTACAACTATTATAATTATAGTTTACCAAACACTCAGCTGTTTTTTGTAAGAACTGTTTTTTTTTCAGCACAGCTAAAAGCAATTTTTTTAAAATCTGCAGCAATATCAAACTAAGCCATTATATATTTGTACCTCAATGCTCAAGTTATCCTACTACTCTCGAGTTCTTTGTTTCTGTTTTCTTTAGTGGCATCTACACTTCCCACCCTGAGAACTTCTATCGAAGGAGCCGCTAACTATTTTGTCTTATCAGTAAGAACTGTTGTTTTAACTGTTGAATTAGTATTTTAACGGTCTAATCTATGAGTAAGAGCAATTCTATATGACGTTGTGTAAATTTTTGATATGGATACTCAGTTACTCAATGATAAAACTTTAAAAAAATTAATTCAATTATTAAAAACAACCGTTTCTACTGGTAGGATAAAATAACAGTTACTATGATAAGAGTTCCCTTATTCTTATTATATACAAATTGTATTTGGATTCTTTGATGGCAGGTACTATACCTATAATGTATGTTTTTGACTATTTGATTTTATTAAAATTACATTAAATTTAAAATGTATGGAGACAAATTTTGATAATCAATATCTAACGATTAAAAATAGAGAACTATTATTATTTTTTTTAAAGATAGTAGTAAAAATCTCTTTTATATTTAGTTAAATTGTTCTTGGAGACCATTTGCAAATTTGTCAAATGATAGATGATCAAAGGGACACTATTTGTTGGAAAAGATATATTAGCAGAATCACTGACTTTTGTAGTTCTTGATATTCTTCTATTTAATTAATACTTAATTGTACAATAAATTGCAGTAGTTTGCCACTTTGCCTAAGTTGCTAATCCATCTAATTAGTGTCGAATCTAGAAACATTAGGCAAAAGGGTTTGAAAAACAAATCAGAAAATTCCACTCCAAAGTGACAAAAGTCCAACCAAAACTCTATGACAATTTTACTTTTATCTCGTTTTCTCCGCTTGTATCAAACAAGGTCCAAAAAATCAAGGGCAAAAAAACAGAGTGAAAGAGGAATTATCCATTTCATTTATCTGATTCTCTCCATTTTATTTTACCATCTCCTTTTTTTCTCCCAATGAATGGATCAACTTTAGTACCCAAAAAGTATTTCATAGTCATACATTCTTTTCTCCATGTCTTCCAATTAGAACAACATAAATTTGTATTTCTAAAGACATTACAAGTATGATTAACAATAATAAAAAACGATTTTTATTTATTTATTTATTTCAAATATGGAATCTTTGCTACATGGAGACCAAGCCGGCCGTGGTCAATACTGAACACCCTTGACGGTCTGCACAAAAACACCCAAAATGATAATAATAAATTTTTTTTTTCAAGAAGTTGACCATTTCATTGTCTATATTCCTTGGGGCTTTTTAGTCTGACAAGAATAGCATTATTAATCATTGCGAGAATCCAATAGTACAAAGAAAAAATTCAAAATAAAATAATTCATCAAAAGAACATTCAAAATAAAATAATATTCCCTCCTCCTTCGCAGGCATATTCATGCATCCTTCTAGGCAATTGAATTAATCAAGCAACCACTGGGGCAAAAACAAAAAAAAAGATAAAAATTAAAATAAAACAAAGAAAAGTAAAAGAGAAAAGAAAAGAGAAGAAAAGAAATAACTTCTGGATGGTTCTATGGACTTTCGTTTTGTAGAACAAAAAAGAAAATTATAATTGAGGGGGATAAATATATCAAATAAACAGAATGTAAGTATAACATGTAACAGAAATATAGTAGGTTCAATGAAAATGAAGAGACCATATTATCACATAGTTGATTATGTAATTTGTTTGTGTGTGGTTTTTTTTGTTTTTTTTGTTTTTGTATGGTATGATAGAATATCCAACAAGGTCTATTCTTCTTCAAACTTTGGAATAGAGAATTTGAACATTAATTAAACCTCGTTTTTTTAGAAGAATCTTGAACTAATACTGCGATAAGCCTGCAATCATCTAGCATCCTTTTTTTTAAAATGAGTTTTTAAGTACTCATTTTTTTAATCCATCAGATAATTTTCTAATCTGATGTGCCTTAATTAAATTAATTTATTATGATTTGGCGTTTAAGAGTATACACACAAGAATTTTCCACAACACAACTCTTTTTTTTTTTAAACACACGCATCAAATTAGTGAAATTAATTTGGTAATAAAAATTGGATTGCATGACGTGTGATCCAAAAAATAAATAAAAAATACAATAATTGTGAGGTAGTTGGTTGAAAAGTAAAAAAAGAAGACAAAGGCTAGAAAGCAAGTCAACCGTCTAATCCTTCCACGTTTGGCGTTAGCGATGGTCTAAAAAGCCCACCAGACCAGCCAGACACTTCTCCATTTCTCTCTCTTCTTTTCTTTCTTTCTCTCTCTCTATTTTCTTCAACCTTTTTGGTAGCTTCCAATCCAAAAATAAAGCATTCCAAACAAAGGAAAAAGTGTAATCAAACATCTTTCTCTCGCTCCTCAATCATTTCTGCGAGCCACCACAGTGGCTGAGGATCTGAAACCGAGATTGAGGAGCAAAAAGAAAAAGAAAAAAGAAAAAAAAAACAGAAAAGAGAAGTGTGGATCTTTTCGTCATCTGGGTTCACTGTCTTTTTCAGGAGGAGAGAGTGAAAAGGAACAAGTTGGCAATTTGTTCCCATCTTTTGCGCAGAGAAAAAAGGAAACAATCTCTGTTGGGTATTTTTTTTTGTTGTTGTTTTTCTTTTGTAGAGTTCCTTTTGATTCTGAAAACGGCTCAGTTTTGGAAAGAGTTTCTGGTTTTTGATGGGGGCTTGTTGGAGTAACCGTATTAAGGCTGAAAGTCCTTACCATACTGGTAAGCTTCATTAAGGTCTTGTTTTGATCAAATTGTCTTTCTTATTGATTGATGAGATGGGTTGTGGTCAATGAATCGTTTGACTAAGTCAATAGTTTTTATTTTTATTTTTAATTTTTTTAATAAGCAAAAAATGGTGAATTGTATATGTGATTGCTTTGAAAAATTGTTTAATAAAACCTTGGCGATCTTTTAATATTAATGAAAATGTCACTTATTTGTTTCCTAGAAAACAAAGCTCAAAAGTGGTAATTGATGTGTTCTGCTTATTTCACGGTAGATCAATTTTTCATATATATGTTTATTTTGCAAATAAATTGGGTGAATTTTGTAAGCTCAATTGTCCCTTTTCGGTATTTATTTGGGCTTTGGTATGTGAAAACTAATTCTGGTGATGCATATTGTATAGTGAAAGTCTTGCAGTTTTTAGGTCCCTGATTTGCTAGTGAATCCTTGTTGACATGTCTCTCTGGGTCTTGTTGAAGGGTTTAATTCTAAAAGCACGAACTCGAGTGGCAAATCCTCATCGTTTTCAGCACCGTTAACTCCTAGAAGCGAGGATGATATTTTGCGGTCCCCTAACATAAAGAGCTTCAGCTTCTCTGAACTCAAAACCGCCACAAGAAATTTCCGTCCCGACAGTGTGCTGGGGGAGGGTGGTTTTGGATCTGTTTTCAAGGGTTGGATTGACGAGCAATTGCTGACAGCTGCGAAGCCCGGGACTGGAATAGTAATTGCTGTGAAGAGGCTTAACCAAGAAGGTTTCCAGGGTCACAAGGAATGGCTGGTCAGTATAACTTGTAGTCTTAATTGTGTGCATCGTGACTTAATGATATTGGCATGTTATATTCAATGCTATCACGTTTTACATGAACAAACTAATTGGTTCTACATGCTATTGCTTTTGGATATACAGACAGAAATCAACTATCTGGGACAGCTACATCATCCTAATCTTGTCAAGTTGATTGGTTACTGCCTTGAGGACGAACACCGGCTTTTGGTGTATGAATTCATGCCCAAGGGAAGCATGGAGAATCACCTTTTCAGGAGTGAGTTAGCTTTAGCTCCCGCTTTTGAATTCTGATTCACCTGTTTTTGCCACTATTTAATCTCCCTCTCAGAGAAGTAATCGTTATAATTATTCTTCCAAAACATCATCATTTTGCTAATAGAATCTTTTATTATAATTTTCCAACAGGGGGTTCTCACATTCAGCCGCTTTCTTGGAGTCTGCGTATGAAAATTTCACTTGGTGCTGCAAGGGGCCTTGCCTTTCTCCACGGAGCTGAGACACAAGTCATATATCGTGACTTTAAGACTTCTAATATTTTGCTCGATTCGGTATATATGACTTTCCCCAGCTCATTCTTGTGATCCTGTCGCATTTCATTATCTTAATGGATTTGTCAAAGTCTTATGAGCTTATCCTCTTCTTCCTCATTTCAGAACTACAACACAAAGCTGTCTGATTTTGGCTTGGCCCGGGATGGGCCAACGGGTGATAAGAGCCATGTATCTACTAGAGTCATGGGAACCTATGGATATGCCGCACCAGAGTATTTAGCCACAGGTACTTCTTTCATGTTTTTATTTCTTTTCTTGGATTCTTGACTTGTATGGACCACTTGGGCTTTCAAAATCTAATCTCTAAACTGAAGTTATTATATTTTCAATTGATGATATTGACTTCTTCTTTATATGTGCTTTCTTTGGCCACCTATTTTGTCAATCAATTCATTTACATCTCACACTACTAAAAATTCTTTGGACCAGAGTCCTTTGGTTATAATGAATGCACAAAAACAACTTATACTAACATCGTCTTGCAACCGTGCTTCCAACATTTGATAGACAAAAGTTTTAAGGATTACCCTCTAACTTTGATCCTTTTAGATTATGTTGAGCCTCACTAAGTCTATACAGGCCTGTTTTGATTTTATAGTATTTCTTTTTCTTTTTGGCTGCTGTGAGGATATCTTGTCCTCAGTTTAGTCCGGTTGTAAGTTTTTGGTTTACTAAGGAAATTTCATCTCTTATATAATTTCATATTTCTTCTTCTCATTATGAATTGCATCTCTTGCTCGAAAGGTCATCTTACTACCAAGAGCGACGTATATAGTTTTGGAGTCGTTCTTCTAGAAATGTTGTCTGGACGACGGGCTATAGACAAGAACCGACCAACTGGACAACACAACCTGGTGGAGTGGGCAAAACCATACCTCACCAACAAACGCAGACTTCTTCATGTTATGGATGCTCGTCTCGAAGGCCAGTACTCTCTTAGTTTGGCCCAAAAGGCGGCCAACCTTGCACTCCAATGTCTTGCTATAGACTCCAAGTACAGGCCAAACATAGATGAGGTGGTAACAACACTAGAGCAGCTCCAGGATTCAAAGGACATTTCAAAAGGTGCTCATAATGAGACGCGCAAATCCAGCAGAAGTAGCGCGGCGGATAGTTCTAAAAAAGTCGCTACTTCTTATCCTCGGCCATCTAATTCTCTGCTTTTCGCTTAGGAGGGGGCGCTTTTTTTTAGTGTCTTTATGACTTGAGAGAGACATTAGGCAGATTGTCAAGAGTTTGAGAATTCGAGTTCAAGCATTGTATTGTGGCAAAGATTGTTCTTGTAATGTATAGTTCTTGCTTTAGTTTTTGTATGTAAGTAAGCCAACGTTTTTCAGAGTGCTTCTCAGAGCTAAAAACATACAAATTTCTGATATGTGCTTGAAGATTATTTATTGCACTTGAAAATGAGAAAATTTAGTTAGTCAAGCTTGTATGAAATTGTTACTGAGTTAATCGAGTATTATAGTTTTTGTCTTACATGTTAATATGATAATATTACTCGATAATTGATATGAAAGTTAAATTTTTATATTCATGAAAATGTTGTAGAATTATCTTCATGGAGCAGACACGTTAAACGAATCATAAAAATAATTAGGGTTTATGTTATTTATCCTATTATCTTTTTTTTCATCTTTAAATGTGTTAAAGTATAAAATTATTGTTGACCCATTTCCTAATAACTTAAGCTTTTTGGATGGATTGGTAAACTAACATGGTATTAGAGCGGGAGGTCATGAGTTCAAACCCTCGTAATTGCACTCTTTATCCCCATTTAAAATTGTCATGTGAGGGGAGTGTTAAAGTATAAAATTATTGTTGGCTTAAGCTTTTGGGATGGATCGGTAAACTAACAAAATGTACTCTACTTAAATATTTTTTAATCAAATTCAACTTTTAAGACAATAATAAATCACTAAAATAAACAAAATTTTTTAAAAAAATTTTAGAGCTTCATTTTAAAAAAAATGAAAAGTGATTAATACACATGTACACCATATGCTTTCAACTAGTAGATGATTTATCAGGTGCCATGTTAATGCTCATCTTAAAATTTAAAATTCGCTACATCATCACGGACGTTTTATGAAAAAAAATATATGCAAAAGTACCCTTTTATTTTAATAATATTTCTATTATTAACCACTCTTTGATCAGAACAGATCAACTAAAACAAATTAAAAAAAAAAAGAGACAAAATTAAACACGAAGGCAATAAATTTCACATTAATTTTTAAGGGTCAATTTATAAAAATTTCATTTTATTTTATTTTTGAAACAAAAGTAGTGCCTTAATTTATTTCTCTCAATATATAAAGATGAGATTACAGAACAATACTTAATTTAGAAATGAATTACCAGTGACCAAGAAATAGATAAGCCAAAAAAATTAATCGTGCTAATATGGGCAACATATTTCCTTTTACAAGATAAAAATACCTAAACTATCACAGCCCATATATGGCGCATGAGATCATCAATATCTTAAATAAATGGATTCTTCATGAGCTAAATTAACAATTTCTATATTTTCTTTCCACTACAACTTGAGTGCATGTGTTTCAATAAAATATGTCAATTAAATCAAGTCGCGCCTTAATTTCACTATTGATCTTTCTCCAAATACCATTCTTTTTAACTTTTGTAATTACTTATATATATATATATATATATATATATATGTGCGCGCGCGCAAAACAGTGTACTCCTAAAAGTATTATAGTGTGTTTGGTAAGGTGGAAAAGAGAGAGGAAAGATTTTGTAGAGAAAAATGAAATTTTAAGTTGTTTGGTAGAGAGGAAATGAGGAAGTAAGGAAAATAAAAATTCATGAGGCCCACAAATTTTTAATCTTTCTAACTTTGAGAAGAAAAGAGGAGGAAAAAAGTTTGACAGAAAAATGAGATGTAAAAAAATAATTTTAACCTTTACCATTCATTATATTTTTATTTGTATTAGGGTATTATTGTAAAATGCCTTAAATTTGATATTTTCTTTTCACTTTTTTTTTTCTCTTCTACCAAATAACATGAGAGAAAACTATTTTACTTCCTTCACCTGGGTATTTTACTTTACTTTTCTTCCTCTTTTCTATCCATCCTACTAAACATAGTATTAGTATTATCCAACACTATAATTAATGTATGTGATGCATGCGCTGATATTATGCATATATGTTTTTATATATCTATAATTCATATGAATATGTTATTGTGTATATGTATACATAATGGTCAATTAACTAGCCTCTATGCTATAGTCTCAATATCTCTTATTAATATATAATGGTGAGAAGTATATTATAATATTTCTTTAACATAATATTAACGCTAAAAAGGTATAATCAATTTTGAGAAAACTAATTAATCTCTTGATGTTATATCGCAACATTTTTGTAACATTGACTATATATAATAATTGTGAGATTCTAAATGTAAGATCTATAGTAAGGTTATAATTGTGCAACACTACAAGAAAACATACTTTCCCGCGACTAAAATTCTTGCTACCAAAAAAAGTTAGTTGCAAAAGGCCTTTTTTTTGCGACCAAATTTTGTGTCGCTAAAAGTTGTGTAATTTTGTGTGTGTTTTTCTTTGTATTTTCTGTAGCTTTGATGATTTTCTGAAATTTTATGTATTCTAGCGACTATGACGTTGAAATTGCCACCTAATTCCAACAGTTCTTGGTCGCTATGATGGCTGGATACCGGTATTATGGTCGGATACTGGTGGGTATTACGGCTGGATACTAGTAACTAGGTGGATACCGTTGTCGTTTAGCCATTGTCGCTACTTTTGGTATCGTGGCTTGATATCGACTGATATTTATAGGGTATATTTGATATTCTAAATATAGTGTGATGGCATAGATGTGCTATTCTATATGTAATATGAATGATGATTTATTTCTCTCTTTATTGTAAACACATTAAATAAAAATTTATCTAAATTGAAATTGAAACGAATAAGTTATGACATTTTTAACATAAAATTGAAGAGAAAAAAAAAGTAAAATTCTAATTGCTTTTAATGTAAAAAACAATTTGGATTGTTAGAATTTAAAGAGAGAGAAAAATCGTAAAATCAAAGTTTTGAACCATTGTTAATAGTATTGTCCTTATTCTTTGCCGAACATCAATTTGAACTCTAAGCTACAATCCAAAATAAATTTTTTAGTTTAGATTGTTGAAACAAACAGCACGTTATTAGTCTTAGATTGACATATGCTAGGGGACTGTCATTTACAATGAGGTTTTATAAAATTTGTTACAAAACTCTAATAACAGTTTTTAATACTTTATTCAAACACAGTTAAAATTTTATTTCTAATTTAAATTTCAATTCATTTACATATCTAAATACCGGTTTAAATTACAAGTTAAATTAACACAATTCATATTAAATCTTACATTCCGAATGCCGGACCAAATAAGACTTAAAACTTGTGACAATTTTATTTAGGTCCTGTTCATTTCACCAATTTGAGTTTTGTTACAGTAAAAAGCTTTAAAAAATAGCCACATTTAACTTTTTTATTACGGTAAAAAGCTCTCACATAAAATCACATCTCAACTTAAATTAAAAATTCAAATCAGTGAACTAAACGGGCCCTTAAAGTCCATCATGTACAAACATAGCCCTGAATAAGCTACGCATTCCCGTACAAAAGAAAAAAGGGAGAAAGAGGAAAATAGGCTAAGACTTGAGATGAATTAAAATTAATAGACCAATAGTTTATATAAGTTAATAAATATGCCAAATCACTGTTTTTGTCCATAACTTGTCTAGTTATGAACCATAACTTGACAAGTTATTGTCCATAACTTATCTGGTTATGAACCCTAACTTGACAAGTTTGTTAATAATTTATCTGGTTATGAATCATAACTTGACAAATTTGTCAATAACTTATCTGGTTATGAACCATAACTTGACAAGTTATAACCTATTAATTTCTATAACTAAAAATTGGCCTATATACTTTCTTAAGCTTTTCATATTGGTCTATTTCTTACTATTTCTCAAGAAATTCTTAAACTTTTCATATTGGCGTATTTCTTACTATTTCTCCAGAAAAAACAGCCACGCGTGGTGTAGTAACGGTCTCCCAATGATGTGGCGGTTTTTGGGTAATTTAAAATATACATGCAAAAAAGAACCGACCAAAATCCTCTCAAATTCTCATATCTCTCTCTCCCTCCTCCATTTCTTCTATGTTTCTCTCTAGATTTCGCAGCCATGAAGCGCTCCATACAGCCAAGACATGCGATCCTAGCTCCTGAACAAGTGTTATCAATAGTCTCCTCATCCGCCTTGGTGGAGAGCTCCGAATAAGTTTCTTCAGAATCGATGTTACTTCTATCTTCTTCATGATTTGAATTTTCGCTTCTCTTCCTCTTATTGATTCCTGGAGATACCCAAAAAAAAAAAAAAATTTAGAAGATTGTACATATTGAAAGATTTGTCAAATTAATTAGTCTTTTTATTATTATAGCATTCTCGCTTGGCAATAATTCTATACCCTAATTTTAATTTCAAGGTCTAGAGCTCAAATCCCTTCAATCCTAAATTTAAAACAGAAAAGAATTCTTTTTCCTATCTGATCACCCTACATTAAAAAACAAAAAAAAAAACAAAAAAAAACATATATGTGGAGTATTTCTAGAGTCACCTTGTGTAGTCACATTCTTCTTCTTCTTCTTGGAGAACTCACGGTTATTGTAGGCCTTTCTCAAAAGCTCTTCCATATCACTTTCCTCCGTCGCTTCAGAGTCTGTGCCGAAATGCACACCCTCCTCTTTTGCATCATTTTCATCTCGAGTATCCGAGCTTCGCGGCGCAAAATTAGTACTATGGGAATTGAGGAAGTTGTTGTGTGCGTCGGCTAAGAATTGTTCCAACAATATGTTCTTGTGGATTTCCCTTTCCCTAACAATACGGTCACTGCGTGATGATGAGACAGTAATGTTAGTAGTAGGTGGTGTACTACAAGTCTCTTTTGGCTCGCTGTCGGAGCTCTGTGAATTCGGATGTGCCGGTGGTTTCTTCATCGTCGTCCCCGACCTCGTTCTCTTACGCTCGTGATCACCTCCCTCAACCTGAATATACAAATATAAAAATCATTATTTTAACTAAATTAAAATCATTAAGGTGACGTTTGGTTTATTTATTCAGAATCATGATTTAGAATCATTCTTATTTTATGTGTAGTTTTTGTGAGAGAAAATATTGTAAAAAATCATGAATCATAATTCAGAATCAAAAACGAATATAGGAAACAACGTCCCCGCACATGCATTGCAAGTGCTTCCAACCATTTAATAACACTAAAGGAAGAAGAAATATGAGCTGGTTAATTTATATTACCTTATTATTGGAAAGTCTGTTATTCTATCATGTGTACTTCCTTTCTTTAATTTCTATTTAGTTTTAGTAAGCAAAAGTTATGTGCTTCTTCCATTATATATATATATATATATACACACACACACACACACACGCACACACGCACAATCTTTGTTTAAAATTACTGTTATTGATTATGTATTCTTACGGTAGTTTTGTTTAATAAACCGAAGAAAGGAAACAAGCAAGCTTCTGGAAACTCTGACACACCCGTACTAGGTTAACTCTCATTAGTGCCTCAATATCCCAGTTACCATTCTAATTATATATAGTACTTCAACTATATATAGAAACAAGAGTAACTAAAACGTGTTTAGTCAGTACGTATATGTGTATTCAAACACCTCACATTTGATTAAAATAAGACGAATTGAAGATTATATTAATAAATATCAGAAATAGTAGAAAATAAGTCAATATGAAAAGCTTAAGAAAGTATATAGGCTAACTTTTAGTTATCGAAATTAATATGGCATAACTTGTCAAGTTATGGTTCATAACTAGATAAGTTATGGACAAACTTGTCAAGTTATGGTTTATAATCAGACAAGTTATGGATAAAAACCGTGAATTATGGACAATAATTTGTCAAGTTATGGTTCATAACTAGACAAATTATGGACAAAAACAGTAATTTGGCATATTTATTAACTTATGTAAACTATTAACCTATTAATTTTAATTCATCTCAAGTTCCCTATTAATATTTGTCTAACAAGTCCTCAAAAGAAAAGTAACAAAACCTGGAAATTAAGAAGAAAGGAAAGATAACTCTAAACTAGCAAATCGCAAACAAACAACCAAGAAAGACAGCCTAAAATGATATCTCTGATGATCTCTTCGAGTAAGAAGAAAATAACCCTTGAAAACTTTTCTTTGTCAACCCGCCTAGGAATAACCTATGGTCTAATATTGCTAGACAATATAAGTTCATTTTCCACGTTTTCTTCTTTTCAATTCATATCAACTCAAATCCTCAATAATCTCACTAATTTCACATGTATAAAACTTTAACAAAAAAATACTCCTTTAGTTTCTAGATTCAAAAACTATAATCAGCAACTGTTACGAAACGCGTTTTTGAATTTAAAAAGGCACATTCTTGAATACTAAACTGAAACAAATACTCTACTCAATTAAATACCCAATTTTCAGATTATAGAACAACCTGCAAGCCCTAAATAAGTTTCTCACTCACCGAAGTATTACTCTTGTTTTGCGTCCTCTTTTGTTTGTACGGATTTTCCTCATAGAGCAAAAAGTTGACAACCTCCACAACCGATCGAAGCGACGTATTTGATTCGACATGATGATAGTACTGCAATATTTAATATATGAACCTCATCAGTAATTTATTCTTTTTCCCCTCTTTTTGTAGAGTGAACACATTTCACTGAGTTGTTTGTATTTACCATAACTAACTGATAAGAAAAAAACTCTTTTCAAAAAGATAAGAGCATTATCTATCAGGAGCAAAAGAAAAATTCAACAATGAACTATAAATTTTCCATAGGAAATGAGTCAATGACAAACAAATATAAAAACGGAAAATTTGGTAACCTTTTGCTTCTAGATATACGTATCATAGTTTTTCATTTTGGCACTTACAATTGCAGAAATCAAAGGGGAATCTAGATTCATAACCTAAGATTAGACAGATTAAATTCTTTACTGAAATTATTAATGTAAAGACAATGCTAGTGATTAATCATGTAAATCCCCTCATCAAACATCTCACTCGTAGAGACTTCTACAAACATATATATATATCAACCATTTTCATTTCCATTATTTAGGGCTTCAATGATAAGCAAAACCCCTTTAAAAAATAAAATTAAAATTAAAAAAACGCCCTTTAAGAGAAGAGACTCTAAATGTCAGTTGCACAGAAAAACATATCAACTATTTTCAATTTAGTAGTTACAATTACCAATTTTCAAAGAGTACTCAACTACAAATTGTAACCTAGGGTTTCAACAAATTCCCGATTGATACAAAAAAAGTACAAATATAAATCTAGATCTTGGACAAGATTTTTTAGAAGATATATATACACACAAACACACACACGCAATACAATGGTATATATTGATTGAAACAATTTTTTAGAAGATAATGCAAGTAATTCAATGGTATATAATTAGGATGTCATCCAGTAAGCAAAGCCGTTTCCAAACATTAAAAAATAAAAAATAAAAAATAAAAAATAAACATAAATCTCTTGCGCATAGAAAAATCCAAGCTATATATAAGCATAAATCTTCAATAGAAAATTGATGGAAACGAATATATATAGGAGTTTTGGATCAACTATCCAACTAAAATATTGTGTGTGTGTGTGTGTGTGTGTATATATATATATATAGAGAGAGAGAGAGAGAGAGAGATGGCAGTTTTCGCACTTTCCATTGCCAAATTTTAAAAAGGATCTGAAAACCCAATTTTAATGAAAACTAGAGTCATAATCTAAGATCAAATAATTAGTTCTTGATTGAAACAAATAAAGTAAGATATATGTAATGCAAGTGATTCAAATAATCTATATGCTTTGGATATTCTAGTAAGCAAACCCCCTTTCCAAACACAAATCTCAGGCGTACAGAGAAATTCATGCCACAAACAATATCTTTCATAGAATATTAAGAAAATATGCAAATCTAAATCGTGGTTTACTTTTCAACTACATAGATTTCATTTTAGCACTTCTGATTGCAGAAATCAAAGAGGGAACAAGATTCACAACCTAGGGTTTCAAGAAATTAGTTAGTTCTTGGTTGAAACAATATAAAGATAATGCAATTTCAACTATAAATAATTAAGATGTTATATTTATTGATTATCAATGTGAAATTATTAATTTTTACCGTTTCGTAACGCCTATTTATTCTCTGTCTCCGTTCTACTCTCCAGCCCTTAAGTCTTCGAGAGAAAGAATACAGAAGTTGATTTTGGGCAGTTCCTATTGTTCTTTTCTCTTCAGGTAATGATAACTGGAGTCGAACAATACATGTAAAATAAACAATTACATTATCAATAATACTGCATATATGAATCAAGGTTTCTACTCTTTTTTTTATTTTTATTTTTTATTATAAATAAACTGAAGGGAGAATCCTTGTGTTTCTACTCATTAGGCAGTTCGAATGAAACCGAGACCTCCCCAGTGAGACTTGTTGCGTTTCGCATTTTCATGTTCAAAGGTTGTGGCGGCCGTGAGGATTTCTCTGTCATAAACTGCAAAACCCAAGAGTTTGCAGAGATTGTTTCATCTACTAGTTAAACTTCTTGTAGAAATAAGCATATATCGGTATAAATGTCATGCCCCCCTTTTTTTTTTTGAGGACTTCACAAACACTATAATCACATGGATCTAAAGAGAGATTAATTAGTTTGAAAAATACCGTGTCGAGTCTCATCTCAGCACTTTGCACATCACAATCTTCAGGCAATCTATAGGATAAAGGGACAGCTTCTACGACTTCATTTTTAGCACTACTTGTACTACTTGATGCTCTACCACCCTCAACTACTGGGGAGCTCGCTTTTACTGATTGCTATTGTTATTGAAAATGAAAATACAGTAGTAAATATTTTTCTCAAGTACCAAAAAAATTGGTGTAATACAGTAGTAGCTAACATTTCATACATATTGCTAGCAGTAAATATATTGAAAAAAAAAAGCAATAAATCTTTGAATACATCATAACATGTGTAGTAACAAGACATGATTATAATGATACTTACAGTAACCATTTTTTTTAAGTATCTTGACTAGTTGAGCATGATGTTGAGCTTCTTGCTCTTTGAGAAGATTACTGGTTTATCAAATTTTTGGGGGACATAAGGCACAATTTCCCGGCCAGTAATCTCAAATTTCCTGATCTCATGATCACTTGGATTTTGCAAAGAACTACCCTCAAAACCAGACATTTTAACCTAAGGAGATAGCTGATTTTTTTTTTTTTTTTTTTTTTTTTTTTAAAAAAAACCTTGAATGTTTTTTTTTTTTTTGAAGAAAGACCTGGATAGCTAATGAAATTGCAGTAGAAAAGAATAGGCTATCTTGTACTTATATAGTGGGTTGTTCATTTATATAGTAAGTTGATGTTTGATCTTACATATTTAACCACTCAATTAAAAAGAAACGATGATGATTTTTTTTCATTGAATTAGTAGAACCAATGAATAAGATCTCATGTGGTTATAGGCATAAATTAATGACTGTAATCTCATACATGACTAACTTTAAATGTACGTAGATTTCAAATCTCCTTACTTCTAGAGTTCAAAAACAAAAAATATACAAATAAATAAGGTTCTTTATAAACAAGATAACGTTTTAAATGTTTAAGGAATGATGTAAATTCTTTTCCTTTTTAATTTTAATATTAACTATATCAATCATTTGGTGAAAGGAAAGAGAAAGATCATAGAAAGAAAGATAAAAAACTTAACAAAAAAGCCATCGAGTGCGAATTACTAAAGATTTCAATGAATTGGTATCTTGATAGTGTTGGATTATATGGTAAAGAATTAATATCCCTGATTTCATATCTATATCCCCGATTTCATGATATTGATATGGTAAAGTTTGATAAGGATTACAATTTACATGGATTATATATGGTAACCTCTTCAGCCAGTCAAATACTATTACAACTTCTTTCCAGCAAACAAATAAAATTATATAACAACCTCTTTTATTAAAAGTAGATATCTTTCGGAACAATTTTTGGGTGTATGTATGTATGTGTGGACGAGTTTTCAATGGTTACATTTCTATCGGTGGTTACCATCAAATATTGAAATCTGATGACATGGTGTGATAAAAATCTAATTTCATTAAATGTCATAATTTTTTTGGTCAATTATATAATTTATTATAACCATCGAATTAATATCTTACAGCTAAAACAATGAAGACGGTTAAAACAATGATACTCATTGATGATTAAATATTGAAGTAACCATTAAAACCACACTCATATGTATATATATATATATATATATGTATATTCCTGAAGCAGTATATATATTTGCTATAGTATCCCTGAATTTGTTTTCCATTTAAAGAGGCATGGAATAACTTTTAGAAATATAAAATTACCCTTAAGTACTTCCCTCAAATAATAAATTTTTTTTAAAATAAAAAAAAGTACCCTTGAGTTTCAGCTAAATATCACGCTTATATTTATGCTTTTTTGTAATTCAGATATATTATCTATGTTTTTAAACTATACTAAAGTTATCATTTAAGTTTTTTAAAAGATTTTTTTTTTAAAAAAAAAACATCCTTTCCTAATTACTATTTGAATATTTTTAGCCATTATTATTTAATAATGAATTCTCGTGATTCAAAGATAAAACATCATTGGGATAAGTATCCGATCGAGTAAAATTCAAAATAAAAATATCTATGAAAATGCTTAACCTAAATTTTCAAATATGGAACTTGTAATAAGATATAATGCGACGTATCGTCATATACTGCAAGGATAATGCTATAACACCAACTCAACTCTTAACTCATATACCAACTCATGAGAGATCTTATTGATAGATATTTTAAAAGATCATTGTATCAATTAATAAAGGTATGGGTTCTTATTGGGTTGCATTATTTCATTTAATTACTCATGCTTATTTCAAGCATTGTTGTTTTAAGATCTGAATCTATTATTCATTTAATAGAAAGTATTGTTGAATATTCTCCGAATAAAAGCAAGACTCTGGTTCTTATGGGAGGTTTATTGATATTAGACATTTTGAGGCAATTATAGACCTGAATCAATTCTGATTGGTCAATATAGTTGAACCTTTAGCTATGATGAAGGGGTTGCAGAGATTACTTTTACTGCACCCAAGGATATTTAATCTCCTAAGCCTAATGCTGTAAGAAAGAAAGCATTATGGAATTTTAAGAGAGATTACGAAGCCTGGCTAAGTATTTACATACGAGACCGTGATGTCGCCTTCAAGTGGACGATATTTTTTCAGCCGTCATTTATTTTGCAATTACCAATAAAATTATGACATCTCATGAGTTAGCATATAAATTAATATTAAAATTAGTGTCGTTAGTATTATTCATATTATATGAATAACTAACGCAACTCGTACACATTTGCATAAATAAAAGTTTCAAATAATAGTTGGAACTATATTATCCATATTATCTGAATTGTTTACAACGGAATCTATTAGCATTCTCTAACAGAGAATTCGTTTTTTTTTTTTTTTTTTTTCCGCGGGGGCAAGGCGTGCAAAGCGTTTCCCACGTTTCTCCCCCCACATTAATCCTTTTTTTTTTTTGGTTTTCTTTTCCCCTTTTTTTCTTTTTCTCTTTCACTTCTTTCTTCCCTCCCTGATTTTCCCTATAATACATTTTTTTTTTCCCATTCTAAAATGTGACCCTCATATTTTTTTTTCTTCTCATATATGTCCTAATAAAAAGATTTTTTTTTTTTTTTATGAAATGACCCTCCCAAATACTTTTTTTTTTACTATATATGCTCAATATTTTTTTGTTTTCTTTTCCCTTTTTAATTTTTTTTTTCCCATCACTTCTTTTTTCCCTCCCTTTTCCCCTCTGCAATACATTCTTTTTTTTTATCCTTTCAAATGTGACCCTCATAAATATTTTTTTGCCCTCTAATTGTCCTATTGAAATAATTTCTCTTCATACATGTTCTAAGTAAAACTTTTCTCTACGAAATGACCCTCTCAAATATTTTTTTACTCTATATGCCCAATAAACAATCTTTGCTATCTTGTTCTCAATGTATCTTTATGGAAACATTTTATCTGCAATTTTTTCTAAATAAATTTCTTTCATGTATGACACTAAATAATTTTTTTTCCTAATTAGCCTAATTAGAAAAAAAATTTCCTTTAATGTTGCTCTATTTAATATTTTTTCTACTGAATTTAATTTAAAAAAAAAATGATAAAAAACATGAACTATAAAATTTTTTAAAAGAATTAGGACCTCCATATCGAGAAAAAAAGAAAGAAAAGAAAAATGTTGAAAAAGCACGTGCAGAGGTCGTGTTTTACAAACTAATATATATCGAATGGAAATATAAAGTTAGTATTTCAGAACTATGTAAAGTTAATTTCTTAGATCTTCACAAGAGTGATATCTCACTGTCTCCAATTATCTTTGAATCGTCCAAAACTTTGAAGATACTAAAATTCCAAGGTTCTTCAGTAATATAACACCTCTATTCGATCATCGACCATCATCTTAATTTCTTCACCTACACCCTTGTGTTTGACTTATCCATTATTTTGTCAAGGGATTTAACTTGTATTGCCATAAAGTGAAAAGGGCGTTCTTCTCCACCCCTCTTTCCTTTTTATTAGTGCTACAACAAGAATGAATTAATACATCTAGAAGCATAACACATATATTGTATATGCAACAGATTCTATTATCGAGTTTGCAACATATGTTTGCCACGCTTCATCACCATCAACCTCTAAACACTTCTTCACATCGTTCAATCCAAACCACTCTCATACTTAGCATAACAAATGTATCATACTGTACGTACTTTTTCTCCAAACTTTCATTTTGGAGGCTATATCAAGCATAGCAGGGCTAGTGACTGATTTGAAAGATTATTTTGAATTTTGGGCAATCATAGCATTAATAAAACTGTAGTTGGGCCAATAAAATTTTAGAAATAGGTTAAATATGCTCCGGAGTCTTTAGATTTAAATCTAGAGATATTTATGAATAGGCCAACATTTGAAACTTTTGGAAGTAAATAATTAATTTATCTGTTGTTGCAGGGAAAAATCTCACACTCCATGTCAAACATTAGATCACCGCCACGTGGCACAGTTGAAGGATTAATGGACATGCCAGCTCAGAATAAAAGTATTCACAAAATGAAACTTGGTAGAGGCCGGCCGCAAGATAACGCAGGAGGTCGATCGTACAAAGGACTGGAGATGGACAAGAGATCGACTGTACAGAGGCGTCAAGATAGATGAGAAGTCGACCTCTGCAGATAGACGTGAGCAGAGATAGCTTGATAAGCGCCTAAGGAGCCGATTGCATTCAGCTCGAGGAAAAATTAAACTTGTAGGATATCTTACGTGACTTGTAGGTAAGCGAGTTGGTAGGGAAGCAGGAGAAAGATCACTATTGACTGGCAGACACTCCGCCCGCCAACGGCTACATCAAAAAATATGAGATGATGAGATAGAATGTAATGATGAAAATTACAAAAATCGAGGGGAAATAGAACTAATATATACGAGAAACAATGGTGAGCCAAGGGGGCTCACAACTGGTCAGCAAAACTTGTATTTGGAGTTTATAGTGAAAATTTTTTCTCCTCACAGTGGACATAACCCTTGAACTACAAGAGTGAACCACTAAAATTTTGTTGTTCTTTCCCTCTAATTATCTTTAAACAACCTCCTCAAAGTAAGATTAAACAACTAAAGTCACGTTAATCACTTAAAAACTTAAACTAATTCAGTTGACAAATTTCCACCGTACACCTGTTACAAAATAATCGGCCGTGTTTAATTTTAAACTTTTTGTTTTCTGATTTTACCCTTTTATAAGGTTTTTTAGTTTTTTTTTGTCTATTCTTCTCAAAAACTCTCTTTCTCTTTCCTGTCTCTTTCTCTCTCACAATATCCTCTTTCTTCCTCTCCCATGTTTTTCTCTCTCCTCTCTCCTCCCTCCTTTCTTTCGCTCTCTACTACCTCCTCTCTCACGATATCTTCTCTTAAATTAATAGGTTTCTAAATGAAGAAGATAAATTCCTTCTTGAATGTTACATTACGTGTCTTTTTTTTTTATGGTGCAGATTTTTTTTTTTTAACTTTAAGTAAATGGGCTTCTTAAAATTTGTGTTGAGTTCTTTAAAAAAATAAAAACAATGTGACCTAAAAGTATTTAGATTTAA